ACACACACACACACACACACACACACACACACACACACACTCACTCTATACCATTGTCTTTCTATAAATGTACTAAAGACTAAAATTCACACTGCTAGCTAAACCTCAAGTCAATATAATATATTATATTTCCTTCCTTCCTCTCTTCCTTCCATCTTCCTTTGTGTATGTTATGCATAAAGATCATGGATTATTCGTCATTTATATCATTGATCACATTGGATGCACAGAATATGTGTGATGTGTACATATGTGCACCTGAATGTGCAGGTAAACTTACCACTGTGTGTGTAGAGGCCAGAGATTGACTTCAGTTGTCTTTCAGTATTGTTTGATTTCCACCTTACTTTTTTGAGACAAGGTTTCTTGTTAACCTTGGGCTTGTCATTTTGGCTAGACTAGCTGGCCAGCGAACTCTAAGAATCCACCTGTCTCACCGTCCACCCCCCTTGCAGCTCTGGTGTTTTTGTTCCACCACACTCAGCTTTTTCGTGAGCATGGGAGATCCAAACTCAAGTCCTAATGCTTCCACCAAGTCTTCTAACAGTCCTATATACTTCATTCATGTTTTTGTTTGGCACATTATACTTGTACATATTGTGAGGTACAGAATAACATTTCACTACACATATGCAATATGTAGTACTCAAAGTATTGTCTAACTGGCACCTTGAACACATCATTTTTGTGTGTGTGTTGAGAATACCCCCAAATGATCTCCTATAGCTACTTTGAAGTATCCAATGATTTGTTGTCAACCACATTGATCCAATTATTCTTTAAGACATCTGCTCTAACTGCATTTCAATGAATCATGACACCCCATGATCTACTCTGCTTCTTTCTTTTTTGCATAATGTAACTCATTTCTTCTTCTAGTGAGGAACTTGGCTTCTACTGCTCATGATAGATGTTTATCTCTTCATTCCCCCTGTACATGATTACATCCCAGCCTCATAACTATTCCTCCAACCCCACCTGATGATTCTCTCTCTCTCTCTCTCTCTCTCTCTCTCTCTCTCTCTCTCTCTCTCTCTCTCTTCCTCCCTACATATGCATGTAATCTTAGTCCAGTGTCTTACATTATTTATTCTCCATAGGTGCTCTGTCAGCAGACTTAAGTTCAACATCTTGCTTTAGCTGGCCCCAAAATGTGGAACTACCTGAAACCTACTTAGAGTCTACTCATCATGTGGATCCCTTCTGTTTTCTGCTTGGCCTAGGACCTATCCTGGGTCATCACCTTAAATGAATTTTGTTCTCAATATGCTCAAACTTACATATCCTATTCTGGACATTTCTTTCTCTTTGTTTCATTCTGCGTCAAATGGAAGTGTTTAAAATGAAAGGTGACTGGACTTGCTGCAGGTTAATGTTTACCTGGATTTCTATGCTTCTCTCTTGGTCTCTAGGGTGGTGATAGGGACCTTGACTGCAAAAACCTTCTGGTACATGTACTGATAGAATGAGACAGAGTAAGGGTGAGAGCTCCTCCATATAACCTATGACTTTTTCCTTCATTTCATTCTCTGCGTTACAAAGAAAAGGATCTAAGATGTTTATGAATTGCTACTATGTAGTATCTAATTGAAGTTTGTTTTCACTTCAAACTCTCTTCACTTTTAACTAATGACCGGGCATTATTTTTATATCTTTACAGATGAGTAAAGTATAAGAACATTTACCTACCTCATTCAAATACACTATGAGGCATTCAGAATTAGAACTTGAGACTTCATATGAATTTTACTCTGTCTTATGTGATGGAGGAGACAGAGCATGTCTTAGAGACATAGTCATATGGTTGTGCTTCATAAATGCTCAAATGAATGTTTTGATGATAATGAGATCAGTGTGAAGAAAATGTGAAGTGTGCAGCTTGGAGGAGATGGAGTTTTGTGAGACTCCTAACTCAAGCCTTTTTGATGAGGGAATACCCTTCACCTTTATTCAGGGGATGCAAAGGCATTTATTCCATGGGAGGAAACTGTTTTTGTTCCAAAGTTCAGAAGTATTTTTTTTAGACTTTCAGGAGATTAGGAGCTTATCAGAAACAAGACTGTCCAGTCTAAAGGACATTCAATAGATACCTGACCTCTATTCACATGTCAACTACTTAGCAGTCTTTATGACGTGGAAGGCCATTATTTTCTTCTGCTCGTAGGTAAGAGCTTAAGGCAGAGACTTTCGGTAATATGCTATGTTGCAAAACTAGAAAAATAATGAGTAAAGGGTAAAATCTTTTGAACCTAGGTTGTCCATTGGCTTGACTGATTTGCAGACTCCTCAGCAGCTGGTAATATCATTTATTACTGAATGCAATTTTTCATGAAGTGGTTGTAATTAAGCCAATAGATGCAAAATCACTTTGCAGTACATAGACATTTTCATGTTCCATCATCATTGTTTATTGGGTACTTGCTCTTTCCCTGTACCTCTCCCCCTGTAGCTATTTTTGAGACAGGCATATCAACATTAATCCAGAGACTGTAAGATGGAATAAGCAGATATGGGGATGTACTGAATGCCACATGACAGGTGTAATAGTGGAAAGCCTGGCTTTAAAATGATAATAATACAGAGAGAGATGACAAAGTGAACTAGCCTTGGAATGGCCTGTAACAATGACTGTGACCAAGGTAAGCAGAAGATGTCACAGGAACAAAAAGGAAGGACGTAAAAATGTCCTTTGGATGTTCAACAAATCTCGGTGAGTTCGAGGACATCCTTGTCTGCATAGTGAGTTCCAAGATAGCCAGGGCTACATAGGGAGACTTTCTTTCTTCTTCTTTTATTTCTTTCTGTCTCTCTGTCTCTGTCTAGACCTCTCTCCCTCCCTCCCTTCCTTTCTTTCTCCCTCTCTCCCATCCTTCTTTCCTTCCTTTCTATTTTTTTTATGGGAAGAGTGTGAATTCAGTCCCCCCCTACCACAAATCATGCAGTGGAGTTTCCCACATTTAGGGAAATCACATCAGGTACATCCAGAGTACAATGGTTAAGTCTTGCCCAGGGAAAACCACCCTTGTGATCCTGGTATTGCCCCTTCCAGGTAAACATGGCTCTGTCTTTAAAAGAAAATAGTGCCCAAGAAGGGGACTGGAGGTCAGTGTCTCAGCAGAATGTCAGTCTCACTGCACATGGTTCAGTTGAGCAAGTTTTCCTGACACTTATGCAGGCCTGATCTAGGCTAGGAAAGACAAAGGGAGATCCTGGGACACTTAACAAATAGCAGTCCTGGTAAGCTCCTTACACCCTGGAGTTCAATGGTCAAGAAGGGAAATGATTTTCCCAGAACCAAGCACAAGTGGATGCCTGCCTGTGATGAGGATCTAGGAGCAGGCAAGAACACTTTAGTTATTTTTTACTTCCCCCTTCTAGCCTCCTGCTAGATCCTTCCATAAGTAAGACCCAAATGAAAGCCAGCTGTTAAAAGGCCTCTGTAGATCATCCTATGGGAATCAGCCACTAGGGCACAGTTCAGAGCAGAAGGTTAGAAAATGGATGTGAGGAGAGGGGGCAGCTGAGGATTAACATGCTTATCATGGAAGGCTTCCTGGAAGAGTTATATTTGAATTGATAATGGAGTGAAACTATGTTCCTGTGGAATAATCCTTTTGTACACTGTGAAGACCTGCTGCTCTCATTGTTAATAAAAAGCTGATTGGCTGCTGGCTAGGCAGGATTTGGGGGGCAGAGAGAATGGTGAGGAGAAGAAGGGTGGAGTCAGAGAAACACCAAGGGATGCAGAGAAACACCAAGGGATGGGATGTACATACATGAGGTAAACGAGCCTCGGGGCAGCGTGTAGGTTAATAGAAATGGGTTAATTTAAGTTCTAAGAGCCAGCTAAAAACAAGCTTACACGACTGGATGAGCATTTGTAATTAATATTAAGTCTCTGTGTGATTATTTGGGGAGTGGCTGGTGGGACAGAGAAGTCTGCCTACATTATGTTTCCTGGATATGAGTGGAAGGGAGGAAGAAGAGAGACCAGGCAGGCAGAGTGTTTCCTGTTTAAAAGCACAGCTGAGACGGGAAACCACAACCTATTTGTTCATGATCAATGGGCTGTGAACTGTGGAGAAGGAGGGAAATAGAGACTATTGCAGCTCAACTGTACCTTCTCACCAGCCTTCTTCCTCAGCTTGACAAGTTTATAAACGGACACACGTTAGGGAAACAAAGCCTGGGGGTTGTGTGCGGAAGAGGTGCAGTGGGTAACTTGCTTTCTGTGAGAGCAGGAGTACCTGAGTCTGGATCCCTGGCGCCTCTGTAAGAAACTGGATGTGGTGCGTGCCTGCAATCCTGGTGCCTCGGGGCTAAAGGAGAGACAGACAGATGCTGCAGACTCTCTAGTCAGCCAAGCTATCCAAAAATTAAGACACCCAATCTCAAAAGACAAGCTAAAAAGCATAAGAGGGAGACACCTGCCATCAATCTTTGGCCTACACACACACACACACACACACACACACACACACACACACACACACACACACATGCACACATGCATGCACATACACACACCAGACTTACTATTGTGTTTATTACTTTTGTTAAGGAGGGAACATTTTATTCTGTGCTCGTGGTTTTGGAAGGGTTTGGTTCATTGTGGCAAAGAATGCATGACTTAGCTTCTTAGTTCATGACAGTGGGAATATGTAGGAAAGGCCTTTTGTGTCATAGGAGACAAGAAAGAAAGCAAGGGGCCAAAGAAGAGACAGGTATCACCTTGAAAGGGCCACCCTTAGTGAACCAATTCTATAGGCCAGGCTTTGCCTCCTGAAGTTCCACAGATTCCCAAAACAGTTCTACCAGGTCAGGGTCAAGAATGCAAACCATAGACCTGCTGGGGACAATTTAGATTCAAATTATAACACTGCTTGAAGTGATCTCCAGAGACGTGGGTCCTGGGTCAGGCTGTTGACTTTCTAAGAGACAACATGTTGAAGTTCAACCTACAATCCAACAACTCACTCAGTTCTCCCTCATAAGCCAAAATGTACAGTCATGACTACTAGTTGCTGTCTGAGTCAGTGGAGGATACAGCCATGAACTATTATGGACTGGCTAGTCCATTAACAACAAACATGTTACTACTGTTTTGGAAACTGAGCAGCCCATCATCAAGGAAACAGGTGATTTGGTGTCTGAAGATGATATGGTCTCTGCTCCACATGTTTTATTCTTCTAGGTCCTCACATGGTAGAAGGTCCAGGGAGCTCTCTAGAGTCTCATTAGTATAAGGGCAGAAATACCACTTATGAGGGTCCCACTTTCATGACCCAATCACACCCCATAGGCACTGTTTCTTAACACTGTCATGTCAGGATTTAGGATTTCAACCTATGAAGTTCGGGAGGACACATATCCATCATGCCCTTCACCTCTTATCTAGGTTCTTAAGTTATAGTTGCCTCAGAACAATGTTGTAGAAAGTCAAGGTCTTCTGAGAAGGTCAAACTAAACTCCATATAAGAGTTACTTTGAGCACAAAGATTTCATAGCTTTGCCTGGGCATGGTGGCACATACCTTTAAGCCTAGATAGGGAAGCAGAGGCAGGTGTATCTCTGTGAGTTTGAGACCATCCTGGTCTACTTAGTGAGTTTCAGATCAGTAAATGCTACACAGTGAAACCCTGTCTCAACAGACCCCAAATCAAACCAAACCCAAACAAAAATGAACAAAAGGGATTCCATAGCTTTGTATAGTTCTACTATAAAATGCATTAGAAAATTTCTCCCTTATAAACACCAACATTCCACTTCCATGGTGAGATCTAAGACAAGTCACAGCTAGTGCAGGGTGCATATTGCCCAGCAGAGAAATAACAATTGCTTTTTTTTCTACCTGTCCCTCTATTCCAGTGTTTCTCAACCTGTGGGTCATGACCCCTCTGCAGGGGCAGGGGTGGGTGGGTGGGTGGGTCAAATGACCCTTTCACAGTGGTCACCTAATACCTTCAGAAAATGCAGATATTTACATTATGATTCATAACAGTAGCAAAATCACAGTTATGAAGAAGCAATAAAAATAATTTTGTGGTTGGGGGGGTCACCACAACATGAAGAACTGTATTAAATGGTTGCAGCATTAGGAAGGTTGAGAACCACTGCTCTATCCATTCTGAACCTGCTACACCAGTGGTCTTTCTTGACTGCTTTCTTTCTGCTGCTTGACTTCCTAGAGTCATTAATGACTTTTCAATTACCACTAACAATTTCAAGTGCATTGCATATATTAATCATGCAACCATCACAGCAGCCCTTTAAGAAAAGATACTATTACCAGTGTGCAGTTAAGGAAAACCATGCATACAGTCCTCCAGATGTCTTATCCTTAGGAAATGTAGAGCCAGCATTCAATATCATTCTGACCCAGAATACCCGCTGTTCACATTTTACACTGCTGTCTTGCACTGTTTTCCACACATAGCCACTTCACTAATCTGCTTTCCTTCCTTCTAGAATTTTCCTTCCATATAAGATCACTTCATTTCCTTTCTTACTGAGCCCTTCTGTCTTAGGGCATCATTTCTGAAGCCCAGATACTTCTTGAATCTCATTGTTCTTAGCTCTGACTTTGTTATTGGTAGAAGTCTTCCCGCAGCCCCAGTTCCGGCTGCCACCAGGTTCATATCATATGACATTCCTGTTATTGATCTTTTCTGAGTGCCTTCCTCTATCCTTTCTGAACCCACAACACTGATGGTTTGTTGTTGGACTAGTTAGGGGTCCCTACCCAGAAGTCCTACCCCTAATTCAAGGGAAGGAGTATAGGCAAAGTGCCCCAAGATTGGGGTCTTCTGATCTTTACTTCACTTTCTTTTTCAATTGTTTGGGACCTTTGACACCAGCATATACCATTAAATTTGGTGGTCACCACCCTGTTTGTTCAGAACTGTTTAGGTGATGCCTGCTTATCTACTACTATAGGTAGTAGTATCCTTTCTCGTGTGTAATTATATCTAAGTAGAGAGGATAACTTCCGTGTTCATTCTTCCTGTAAGATTATCTGCATAAAATAAGACTCCTGTGAAAAGTGTGGGAGGACCCAAGATTTCTGACAATGGAACTGTGGATTGGAAATTGGTGCCTACAACAAGTGTGTATGGGCCTGGCTGGTCTCACAACACAGAGTGAAGGCAATAGCTTTCATCTCCCCGTGAAAAACCAGCTCTAGCTAGTGTTACTAAAGACTAACTCAACTGATAATAACATAGCTGAATATCATTTGCTTTCATTGTTGTGGTTGCTATGACCATATAACTGACAACTAAGGCAGGAAGAGTCCATTTTGGTTCCCAGTGTGAGGTGACGCAGCCATCATGGAGGGAAATCTCAAGGCAACAGGCAGTCGCACAGTGGTAAGAGTACGCAGCTGGGCTCTTTAAACCGAGGCCAGACAGGAAATGGGAATAGGCTTTGAAACCCCAAGGCTGGTCTCCAGTTACCCATCTCCTCCAGCAAAGCTCCACCTCCAAAATGTTCCACAACCTTCCAAACAGCACCAATTGTTGAAACATATGAACCCCCAGTGGACACTGCCCATTCAAACATCCTGGGGCTTGCTTGTAAACTGATAAAGTTACAATACTGGAACAACTAACCCCTCACTGGTGGAAACATCTTCTCTTGGTAGAGAAAGAATAACAGATGCAGCTCCAGCCTCCTTGAATCCGTCCAACCTTTTCTCTCTTCATGTGAAAGACCTGTGCAAGGCATCCTTTCCGCTCAGCTGTGCAGCTACCTTGGGCTGGACCATGAAAGGCCCCAGAATGAGGCTCAGAGGAAGGGATCCCTTGACTTAGCAGAGCCGGGAGCTGTGTCATGTGGCTCTACAGCTGCCGTTGGCTCTTGGATGAAATTCCCCAACCTTGCACCTCACAAAGAGCTCACTCCTAGGCCTGCCCAGCAATCCAGGGCAAAGCCTTGGGGGTTCAAGGCCAGGACACAGAACGAAGAAGGTCCTGCTGGGTAAGTGTTATAGAAATGTGTGTCAGAGAGGAATCTCTTGGCCTGGTTTGCTGACTTTTCTCCCAGTAGATCTTTAAAAA